ACGATCTTTTCCAGCTTTTTCTGGCACAATTTCTGAAAATTTTTCACCCAGGAAATACGTTAGGTTTCGAATGGGCTGATATTCTATCGTGTTTAACTGTCGGTACTGAGAAAATTCTCGCACGATGCCTGTAGTTGAGTTCTATAGATGGTTTATTGCCAGTTCTTTCGCCGTAACTCTCTTCCGACGACGTTCAACAATTATCAAAGGTGCTGATGGTTTCGAACATTTCGATTACTGCCAATTTAAAACTTTCACACCACATTCATGAATGTGATTGTAATGTGCAAGTTTAAAATTCTACGAAAGCCGTCCAGTATTATTTGTTTATAACTATGATTGGTATTGGTTGAGAAGAACAACTGTAACGGTCAATTTTTAACTGAATCATGCGTGTTGCTTCATCCAACGCGAAGAGGTCACCAAGACTGTCCGATAAGCCACACTCAGACTATTTAATTTTTATCATTCGATTCTCACTGCTGAACGCAGATAACTGAATTGAATAAACGCGTTTTAATAAACTATCATGAATGTTCTCTGATATTTCGCAAGTGAGTTAATCAACAAAAAAACGATCACATCATGTTTAAGCAAATGTTATTGTTTAAGTAAATATTATTCTATTGGATTGCGAACTGAACGACCACTTGAGAGAAAAAATGATCCGTCTGACTTGAGAATGTTGACCGATGTTCGAAGAATGACATGTTTTAGTGTACAACTGAGAACTTTTCCAAGCGAACACTCAGTTTATGGATTTGGTTCAGTGCCTATCTTCTCCACTTGAAGACACTCATGAAATCATTTGGTAAGTTGTTGCTTTGAAGTGGGACGATGACATGAATCGCACCGATCTATTCGATCAGTTAACAGCAAATTCCTAATACTCATGATGTGAACAATATGTTTCAATCAACATTCAACGAATTCATCTCAAGAATTAAATTCAAAGCGAGCGAATCCTGCTCATCTCAACTTGCTTGCAAAGATTTTCGTTTATTGTACTCATTAAGCCGTTGAATTGCGCAACGATTTGATCTTTGTGGAGCCAGACGAATGGCAAGGTTTGCGAATCTCAATTCGATCCACATAACTTTTCAAGTGGCATTCCCCTTAGATGCCTACTTGAAATTCGATGCACAATAAGCCAGACTCAGACTTCAACAAATTCAATTTTTTTGGCAAAAACGACTCCCACTGCCGAACGTATATAATTAAATTGAACTACCACGTTTTAAAGAATCACCACTAATGTTCTCTGATCATCGAGAAGGATTGAAAAAAGGAAAGCAATCAATATTGCTTGCTTGAAACAATCAATGAAGAAAAATTTAAGCGTCTAACGACAAGTACAAAAGAATTACATGTTCAGTTCGTAGTGCTCATAAAACAGTCTACAAAGGTCCAACTTACGGTCGGTATTTATCATTTGAACTCTACGAGAAACTTCGTCAGACGTCATTAGCTGAACCTATGATGTTCAAACAAACCATATACTCATTTTTTTGGTTTTTTTACACTCATCAGTTTTGGTATGCACAGGATGAACGATAAACCCGTAACGGGTAATGCGAGCTTCCCACGGAATACATAGAAAAATGTTGCTTTAAAATGACAGCTCGGCATCTCCTTAGAACAGATACCGCCATTGCCTGTTGCATATTATGATCGAAGCTTTAGTCCCAACCACAGTTGGGTAATTGAAAGATCAATGGTCGTTGCATTTCACATAAAATTAGTTCAAAGACACTTGTGCTTGCTTGAAATGAAGTGCTTTTGAACTGCGATGTTTACTTTAGATAACAGCCACTCATTTGACATGCATGTTTTGATTCGTTCATGCGAAGAATCATTTTATTGAAATATTAGAATAATAAGCATAACATACTGATGACAGTTGTTGACGGAAGTTTGAGAACACAGAACCAACTGAGAAACTGGATGTCATTNAAGAGTCGATTCGAACATTAAAATAAAGTCGAGAAGTCCCATCCAATTAGATGGATTCATTTTCACTACGCTTAAGGGCACCTCTCGCCAAAGTTTGAACGATTATTTCCAGAGATGGAAATGGATCATGGAAAGTGAACGAAAATTAAACGAAAACAAAATCGAATACCAATGAAATCTGATATGGGATACCAGATAATATCAAATAATGTTAACAGAAAGTGCGTCTAATGGTAACGTGTATTTACCATAATACACCTTGATGGTGTGAATATATCTATATGTGCATACCTCGACTTAACAGTTCACGGCATTCAGGCAATATGCTGGTAACCACGCCAAAAAGCTCTTAATAAGAGATCAAAAATGTGAAATTACAATTCTTCAAATCCATGACGATTCAATCAAATCATATTTAAAACTATTTTTTGCCAATGAAGGAAATTAGTTCAGATTCGAACACTATTAAATCAAATTTGTGCCGTCAATACGTGATGATTACGGCATCAAACTGACTTAAAATCATATCAGTTATCATTCTCGAAGAGAGATTCATTATATTACGTTAAGCATTCTGAAATTTCGCATTTCGATGTGGCTCCAATCTTAAGACCGCTTGCGAATTTTCTTCCCTAAGTGTGAAATAATCTAGCGAAGAAACAGCGACACAACTCGATGCACTTCGGTAATTTCATTTTTTNTTTTTTGAGGTTGTTAAAATGCAGAAAACCAACAAATGAATAAATTGACACGATAAAATTCCAAGCATATGCGCTATCAGTCGATATCAGCAGTCGAAGAACTAAGGTCCACAAAGATGCGGTAGGTTGAAAGATTTTGTTTCTAAACGAGCATGATCGATAATGTGATGAAATGAAATGAAATAACTCAAACTCGATTCGATCTAACAAATTAACGTTGGTTGTTGTGGTGAGCAAAGATACTGACCAAAAAATGAGCAATAATGAATGATGATATGTGAAGCGCTATTCGATTCCAATTCGTTTGTTAATCACCAACTGAATTGAGCAGAAATGGATCATGGAAAGTGAACGAAAATTAAACGAAAACAAAATCAAATACTAACGAAATCTGATATGGGACACCAGTTAATATCAACCGTTACTACCCGCTATCATACGAATGAATAAAATGCTAATTAGGCGACGTCCTACAAAGCTTCATAGTAAATATTCATTTTCAATGCATTTAATCAAATAAATATTCATGATTAACTTATAAAACATCATCTGTGAATGGTGTATGAATCTCTATAATTCATCCCTATCAAAATGCTTCTTCAGAATTGAAAAGTGCTCAAAAACCAGAAGGCTCTATTCGGGTGAATGCATAAGACGATAATTCCACTGCTTTTAGGAATCATAAGTTAGAATTCATTTGCCTGACACAATGAACTGATCACGTACGGACAGCGAAATCTAAGTGGAAGAAAATGTTCACCATCAGAATGAGGTTTGATATGAAGTGGTGGCGAGGTCGATGCGGTAGGCAGGAGGTTTATCAAATCCACAGAGCGATATTCATTTGTCAAGTCATTTTGCTTTTTACTCTTTTTTTTTNTACATTCATACCAGCTTTTCGATAATGTTCATTAATCTGTATGCACTTATCACTCCAGGTTCCATAATTCTACCCCACAATCGGTCACTGTGAATCATATAGGCACGAATCAGAGAAACCTCCCTCATCGACTCACGATCAGTCATTGATTCAGCCGTTAATGTCATTGAATGTTTATGATCAGAATATCACTATGTAACGAATTTTATACGTTCACAATCAGTGTAATTCAGATAAGATGACGCGAGCAACATATCTGAAGTCTGCTAAGAGATATAAAATAAACAATTAGCTCCCATGCAACATATACATAGCAACTAAACAATCGCATCCGTGACATCTTCCATTCGACACCGACGTATGCCAATATTCAAAGTACGACCATTCAAAGGACGCTTTAAAGATTGAATCAAACCATCATCTCTGTCCCATAAACCATGACGAAAAAGATCATTTCGAGTGGATGAACATTATTTTCAGACGTATTTTCATAAATTACGTATGAAAGTGATGCTTATTCATCTAATAATGTTCTTTTACATATAAAAGTATTTGTTTAACAGGAATATGGATAACATCATTTCAAAAAGATACCACATTTTAGCTCCCATGCAACATATACATAACAAATCTAAACAATCACATATCAGTGAAGCGGTCCTAAAAACCATAAACTCTGACAATAATCCCATCATTTAGCAATCGTTCGTTGCTTCAAGAGGAGGTCTCGNTAACATTTCAATGTGAAAATGATAATCCTTTATTACTGAAGTAATAAATGTTTGTAACTGTGGCAAAATTATCAACAGAGACTAATCATCTAAAAAGTTGTAATAAATTTCAAACAGGTGACAATGTTTTCTGAGCATGGCATAATTAATTATTTTTCAACTTTAATTCATCGGTATTCATCGACACCATTGCTATTATTATCGACATTATGAGGTTGACGTTATATTTAAAACTGATATACTTTTAGATCACAACCACTCGCTGGAACTTTTCTCTCAAGAAAATCATAATTCTTTCTTTCGATCATATAACTTGATAAAATCAGAATTTCTGTCAATCCACTACTGGTTTACATATATAACGCATACGTTACTCACTTTGTTACTGTTATTATTGCAACATTACTGCTGTTATTGTTGTGAAAATTTGTGTTTTCGAGACGGTGCCTACATGGAAATCTCTTTTAACAGAGCACAGAAACATCACATCAAAGCCGAATATGAGCAGGCGATCGAACGAAATCAAATGAAACCGAGAATAATCAAAAATGTTGAGATGTTCAATGAAATGAATGAATTTTTCACAAAATGAACAGTTTCGTTTGCTCTCATGTATACGTACAAGATATTTGCATATTGTATTCGTGCCCTTTAAACGTGTTGATGTTAACATTCAATTGTATTTGCCTTATTCGATCGAATTTCATGAAATTTTTGGGTGAACTTCAAATACTTTCATTGGCACATTATCAGTGCACTCTCTTCAACGTTTTCACAAAATCTGAATGTGCTTTCTGATAAATTCTTGATCCCTAAACGTTCTCTCCCAAATATTAGCGCCGCAAAGTCGACATCAGCCGACCTTAATTCCACTGTTTTGAGGTCAACTTGAGTGCCATCGGTTGAAGCGCACACTGCAGACGCCCCAACCAAATCCATATATTTTTAAACGAATACTTATTCATAAAGAAAACGTTAACCAACATCAGTTTTTTTGCCATTATGGTTGACTTCGGTACGATACAGCGTATTCTGCTGATAATTCTGTATTTGCTCTCATGACCTGATAAGCGGAGTACAGTCACACCCTTGAGCCAAATTGGACTTAGTGATTTTTACCGATATGTCATCGGAGATTAAGTTGAGAGCGCTTTTAGTCGATCACTTTTTGATCGCTTTCACTCAGAAGAGACATCAAAAGAATCTGATTGATCTGATAAAGACGATCGATCAGTTTTCTCAAGTGTTAATTTACAGGAACGCAATTTCACGCGCAAAAAATTCTCAAAGTC